CAGGCTGTAGAGCACTAATTCCCATCAGCCCCATTGTCAGGGTGGTTTGGAGAGCCACAGATTCCCTACCCATGCTTCTTAATGGTAGGGCACACATTTTAATGAAACTTTATGTGTGTGGGGGGGGGGGATTGATTTTTAATTTAGTTGACAGAAGGACTGTCTTTGCTCTCCACAACTACATGGTTTTAAAGGGACCACACAACTTTTCTTGGGACATGTATTGCAAGCCAGTTAAGAGGGTGGGACTGGCACTTGGGCAACCTGGGTTCTGGTCCCTGCTCAGCCCTAGAGCCAACGGGATGACTTTGGGCCACTCACAGTCTCTCAGCCCAATCTATCTCACACAGTTGTTGTTGTGGACATAAGACTGAGAGCAGCAGGAGGAGAATGATGTAAGCCACTTTGAGTTCTTTAACAGAAAAAAGTGGGATATTTATTTAAGTTTTTTTGTGAGCCGCCCCGAGGCTTTGTTGCGATGGGGGCAGCATAGAAATGTTTTAAATAAATAAATAAATATCCCATTCATTAGCCCAGGGCTCTCAGAACAGGATATACATCTAATAAATAAATATTGTGTGCCCATCATTCCACACATTTCTTACACATTGATTAGAGAACAAAAACACTCCCCTTCTGTTCTTTCTTTCTTTCTTTCTTTTGGTGGAGGAAATGGAATATCATTTCCGGAAGCAAAAGGAAATTATCTAAACATTTCCCTACTTATGTAACTGGACTGTGCTGCTACAACAAAGCACCACCTGGAGGTTATGTAGTGAAAAAGGAGAAAAGGAAAACCTCGTTGGGTATTGCCTGGATCTCAGCTCTGCAACAAAACCAAAAGTAGATGAAGCATATGACCCACCTCGTGTAGAAAAGCTGAGAGCACTGCAGCTACCTTGCTCCAAACTCCATTGTGTGTGAACTGGCTGGATAAGGACCGGGGAGGAGTGCTTAGAGGGTAACTCACAGGTAGGCCAGACCCTTAAAAAGTGGCGTGGTCCTGGTGCTCGTACAGCTTGAGTCTCCTGTTATTGAGAGTATGAATCAAGGCTGAGCAGGGATACTGACCCATGAGCCAAGTTTATCCCTATTTATAATCAGTGAATAAGTGCCACACAGGGTCTCTGGCAAGCGCGGGACATCCAACCAGATGGTCCTGCCTTGCCCAGTCAATGAATTGCTGCGTGGGCAATTATAGCAGGAAGGTTCATGGATCGTGGGTTACATCTAATTACTCATAAGCAAAAATGTATGTTTTGAGAATAGTGGTTGCCGAGATGTAATACAGCTAATGCTTATTTTACCATTGTTGTTATTGTTAGTCGCGAAGTCGTGTCCGACCCATCGCGACCCCATGGACAACATTCCTCCAGGCCTCCCTGTCCTCCACCATCCCCCAGAGTCCACTCAAGCTCACACCGACTGCTTCAGTGACTCCATCCAGCCACCAAATCCTCTGCTGTCCCCTCCTTCTTTTGCCATCTATTGTTCCCACCAATAATATGGATAAACCTTGTGACAGAAAGGTCTTTCATATTTATTTGTTTATTTCTGAGGCCCTCTACACAGTTAACTGAGGCCCTCTACGCAGTTAACAAAGTTAAGAAAAAAGTTAAAACATGCAAGGTAAGATCAGCTTAAAACACCAAAGCCACAATAGCAATTGAATCAGCATAGCAACATTTTCATGTTCTTCTCATCTACCTACTTCCTTGAACTTCACACTAGGTCAACATAAATGCATTCTCTGAACCCTTTTGACAACTAAAAGACCAGCATTGCAACATTTGAAGGATGAATTACCACCTTCAGTACACTGGGTCAAGGACTTAATGATGCTTTCCCTTTTTGAATGGGTGGTCTTTAGGCATAATCTAAGAATTGAAAAATACGTGGACATTTGGTCTGCTTTTGCTGAGGTCTGTGCCCTGAGGTCTTATTATTATGTGAGAAACTAGTACTTGTTTTTTTGTTGGTTTATTTTTTGTTTGCGTTGATGGTTTTGAAATCACAATAAAAATAATGGAAAGTCTATCAATGGAGGACTGGTATTGCAATATATTTTTCTCTGAGCATTCTGTTTACAGCTCTGTCATTTTAACAACTCTGGCCAGCTTCCTCCTTCCTAAAGGAAAGGGTTTTTATTTTGTTACTCTATTTCTACCAATTTAGCTATCAAGATTTCTGCTTCGGCTGCCTGGTTTCTATTTGATTAGCCAAAGTGTTCAGTCTCTATTATGCTATTTCTTTTCTGCCTAAAACAATTTGACACTAACAGTATCTTTTCATTTCCTGTTACATAATCCTCTTATTGGGAAAATTCTTTTTAACACAAAAATGCAGAAAGTACTCACTTAGAAAACACAAAGCCTTCCCTCTACCCCACACACACGCATGAGCATGTTGCCACAAATATCAGGTGCCAGCATAAGCTCAGTGCACTGTTGTGAACACTGGGATTAATGCTGCCATCCTGCCCATGCCAGCCGTCCCCAACTGGGCGCCCTCTGTTGTGTTGGGCTGCAGTCTGACACATCTGGAGAACAGCCAGCTAGATAAGTCTGGTATGCGTCATTCATTGTGAGCTGCCAAGAGAGTTTCAGCTTCTGGGCAGTGCAGAAATGAAATAAATTGCAGTTACCTGGGAGTCAGTTTTACTGGCTTTTGGGTAGTCTTTTAAGGAATTCATGTAGAAGTTTCCCCCCTCTTGCTGGTTCTGCCATTACTATGACAAAAGACTTTTTTGAATTTAGGAGTTGCATTCATGCCAGTTCATGTTAAGACATTTAAATCTGAAGATAACTGAATTCATCCATACGAAAGCCAACAGGGTATAGCGTACTGGACTGGTGGGGACCTGGAAGATCTGGCTTCTAGTCGCCATGCAGCCATGAAGCCCACTGGGTGACTTTGGGCCCATCATAAACTCTCAGCTTATCCTACCTCATAGGGTTGGTGTTGTGAGATAAAATGATATGAAGAAAGTCTCTATAAGCCACCTTGTATTCCCCACAAGAAAAAAGTCAGGTTGTAAATGCAATATAGGATTTATTTATTTATTTATTTATTTATAGGATTGCCGCACTAGTTGATTCAGAGAAAGTGGTTTGATCAAAGGCACAATCTTGTGTCTCTTTAGATGGAATAGAATCCTGAAACTCCCACCAGCCCCTCGCTGGCAGTTTTCTATTAAAAAATACTTGCAAATACTTGTAAATACTTGTGTTTAGTTTCTGATTTTTTTTTTAATCTACTTGTGCAAACATCTGCTACCTGATTAAAAGGTGTTTTCCACTGAAAGGTACACTTTTAATCCATGTAATATCACAGGACACTGGGCCAAACCAGATGCATGAAAGCATTTGATTTGTTTACGGAAACAGCAGGTGCTGGAACCCAAGTGGGAAGGTGGTTAACTCTTTGCTTACTGCTGGAGTTCCAAGCAAGATGGGGACCCTGGAGCTGTCAGAAGGAAGGGTTGCATTGTAGAAATAAAGCTTTTCTTTCAATGAAATAGCAGGTGTAGTCTGATCTGGAGAGAAACCACTGTTTCCAAGAGTTAAAGCCCCACTATTTACCCAGGTTGCAAACAACCCCCTCCGGAGTCAGAATTGCTACTTACTGCATAAAATACAGCCATTCATGAAGTTGCATGAACAATGTCACATCTAGTTCCGACAGTTGAGACTGCAGCACAAATGAGTACTTTATATGAAAGTAGAATCCTTGCTTAATTTTTTTTTTGGTCTTGCTTATTTCATTCACTCTTCTCTCACTTCACTGTAAATGAAAGATCCAAACACAGACTTGCTCATGCAGTGCTATTCGTCATGCTCTCCTCCCCATCAAGTAGCATGTTGTGTAGCAACCAAAATATACAACGATGCATGTAGCGAGCAGCCAATAGCAGCCTAATTATTCCGTATGAAAGGCACTGCATTGTTATCTCATGTCTCTGCACGGCGGAGAAATTTGGGCACATCTGCAAAAATGCCAGCAAGGGAAGGACCAAGAATGGATTGTTACTCGTTAGGCAAGGTTAACATCAATTTGTTTCAAATGCATCCCGGAGCTCCTGAAAGCTGCATCCAGTGCCTGAAACTGCTGCAACTCCGGGTAAGACCTTCCAAGGGGTATGAGTGGGTCAAAGGCTAAGTTAAGCCGCCCTCCTCACACACCCCTGCATGCAGAAATGAGCACAGGGCCAAGGAGGAGAGGATGAGCAGCTCCTATATGCCTTGCGCAGAAGCACCCAACGAGGGGTCTGGCGTATTGCTGTCAATTCCTTCCCTTTCCCATGCACCAGTACAGCCTTCTGCAGAATTGCTTGGCTCGGGCAATAGCCACTTTCACTGCAGTTAGCCACAGGTCCCGGTCTAGAGAGGACATGTAGGCTGCCCACCTTATTCAATAAGGGGATGGAGGCGGAGGAACTGCACTGGAACGGCAGGGGCAAACCTGACAGCCAGTCAGTGCTGCAGCACTGTCAGCAGCCGCACAAGCCCTTTCAGAGGAGGAAGCCGCCCTTCGTGATCCTTTCCATCCGGCAGATGCTGGACCAGGCGGAAAATGGCCCTTTAGTATCGGAGTTCAGGAAGACGGGGGTTTAAATTTTGGTGGCTGAAGCCTGTAAGGATAGGTTGGACCAAGGAGATGTGCCATATGAAAGCTACGCAAGAGTTGGCTCTCTAAGGCTCCCTTCATTAAGTACAGCAGTTGGATGCTCAGGGAAGAATGAGCTGTGAACAGGCACATATCTATTTAGTGACCCCAAAACCTGGCCTTAAAGCCGTGCAAGCCAAGGACGCATCCAGCTTGTGAGAGCGATATCTGCCCCTCATGCCCAAAATGCTGTTTTCACACTTCCCGGCATTCCAGCCACGCGGCTGCATGGTCACTGTGTGTTTCTTTCCTAGCTCTGTGGGAAATGAGAGGAAGGCAGTCACACAATGTTCGTCCTGCTCCTAGTACACCTCTATCAGGGCAAAGGAAGTCAAAATGAAGCTAACCAGAAGAACATTAATGCTAAGAGCCAGTAACTTCCACACCACTCCAGTCCAAGGAAACACATACACACAGAATGTTTGATCCCGCTACTTTAATATTGAAAGCAGACATGAACTAGATTCCAACACATCTCCATCCGGCCCACTCCTCTGCTCCATCCTAACTCCTTCACACCACAAACTTGTTCTTCATGAGGGAGCTACTCTTGGTGGCTGTATCTGCATGCGCCTGGTAACCAATCGCCACCTTTGAAGACAGGCCCAGGTGCTCCTTGTAGACACGCCTGAGAGAAAGAAACACAGATCATTTCAACACCAGGTGGCCTACCTTAGCTTGTCTCTCTTCTGGAGCTGCCACTAGTACACCTCTCACCCCCTCCCCCTGAAAAGCTCCTTGTCTAGGCCGTCAGGGCTTCCACAAGCTATTCCATGTATTCTGGGTTCTGGCCACACACAAAGACTTCAGGCACTTGAAGACACTTCAGACGTACCTTAAGAATCTGATCTGTGTTTAGATGCAAGGGCATCCTCACTCACATAGCACAGCTGTGAGATTGTGCAACATCAGCACCTTGTCAGCTCCACTGGATTCCAGTCCCTTTCTAATCCCATTTCAAATCGCTGCTGTTGAACTTTAAAGTCCAGCGTATTTAAAGCAGTGTCCCCCAGCCTGGTATGCACCAGGTGTTTTGGACTATGTTGCCTAGAATTCCTGAGCTTTAGCCATGCTGACTGGGAGCAGATGAAACAGAAAGTCCAAAACACACGGAAAGCACCAAGATCTGGACATCTATCTGTAAGAATGTCTTCTGCTATATGTACCTGCTCTGGCCCCCTGGGTGATCTTTGGAGGCCTTCCTCCAGCTGCACTACTAAAAAAAAGTTTGAAGTAGAGCTGCAAGAGAGGGGCTTCTAAATTGGGGCACCCTATTTAATGTACCACCCCAGGGAGGCTCATCTGGTGCCTTTTCTGCGAGGTATTTTGGTTAGATTTTATGGCTATTTTTGCAATCTATGTTTATTCCTTTGCTGTTAGTTGTTTTGTATTTTATTCTTGTTAGCTTTTGTCATGTACCCAGTGTTTGTCACTGACTGGCTTAATTTTGCACACAGACACACAACACAAAAGGAGCTGTTTGTTACCCGATATGGATAACCCCATCCCGGTTCTCTGCCTCCCGGGTCCAGATTGCAATCTTGTCTCCCTTGGCACGGATGTTGATGACTGCCCCACAGACATCATCATTGTAGTCACTGAACATCTCTCCGATCAGGCAGAGCAGCTGGGCAGAAATGACAGGACAGGGGACCAGATGTCAGTCCTTGCATGATGCACTGCCGTCAAGTGCAGCCGAAGCGACTGCTCGCCTCACCCAGGCAAGTTTTAAAGCAGTTTTCCTACCCCAAAACTAAGGGCTACATTGCATGGGAAGGACCAGAGAGTGTAAGACAATGCAGCAACCTGGCAAATAATTGGGCAGATAAACATCAAAGGGTTTCCTGCTCCTGCGCCATGCTGTCATGCGATTCACCTTGAACCGAACACGTTGCCACAGCTTTAACTTGAGAAGCAGACTTTGGGTGTACATCTGCCTGCCTGAGAGGGACTGAGAGAAGCCTTGGGCCCAGCCCCACACCGTGGCCATATTTCTGGCAGGAAGGTGCCCCCCGCCCCGGGCTGCTTACTCACAGTCTCCAACCAGAAACGGTCAAGGTCTGTGTGCCTCTGCTGCTTGGCTAACGTGATCAGCCAGCGACCACCACGCTTGTTCCAGTTATCTTCCCACATGGGCTCAATGCCGTCCTGCCAGGAAAATGCGAAGTGACAAGAAGAGCTTGCTGCCTCTTTATGCATGACTCATGCACGCTCCCCAGGGCTACGTGAATTACAAGGCATTCTTATTCTGTCCAGGATACCCAGCAAGTCTTACCTAATCCAGAGGCTTGTGGTGAAACCCAAACCAAAGTGAGCCTCTGACTGCAGACACAGGCTTCCTCTCGGCTCACCTTCCCCCAGGAGAGGGCTGAGAAGCTGTGTCCTGAGAGAGGTCTTACCTTGAAGAGGGAGTAATCACAGCCAGATGTCAGCTTGCTAGCCAGCTGGATGTGGCTATATAGCCTGCGGGCTCAAGAAGAAGAGACAGGCATGTCAAGCAGAGTGGGCAGACTTCAGGGAGAAGCCTCATGTTTCCCATCAGAGGCAGTGTTAGTGAGCAGCCCACTAGCGCTGGAGCCCCAAGTCTCTAGGAAGCCTTCTGCCCCGCCCCACGGCAGCCCACACTGGGCACTTGCTGAGATAAAGGTCAAAGGGCTCTGACAGATCTCCTTTGCATCTGATCTCCTGGATGAGCAGGTTTTGCTACAAGTGCTTCATCTCCAGCTGCTGCCCTGTGCACCTGCCTGAGGCTTTCTCCTGAAATCAAATACCCTCCCTCTCCCCTGCCTATACATCCCTTCTTACAGATAGAGATGTCCTTAGGAGACTGCCCCATAAAGAAACAGGCACAAAGAAACTTTAGAGCATATGCAATGTTGCATTTCCTTGTCCCACTGGCCTCAGCCCTCAAGCTTTTCAGTACCCAGCAACATTCCCCTTCCCAGGAGAGATTTAAGGGATTTTACATGAGCAGCCCAAAAGCAAAACCTGGAAACACCCCACAGGAAAAGATGGCTCTCAGCAGCACCTATCTGTGTCAACAACCTTTTAAGATGCGCATGAAGACACAAGTATGAGCTAAGCAATATATGGGGCAGATCCTAAGAGGAAGCAGCTTTGTCCAGGATTGATGCTTCAGTTTCTATCACAACTATTAAAAGGTTAAAATGCACACCATCTTCCCCAAGCACATACATCAATGTTATTCCGTAGAAATAAGTTTTCTTTCAGATTAATTATGGCACATATTGCCGGGGGGGGGGGCTCTAGCTCATTTGGATACCATAAGACTGTTTTGCTGTGACAAGTCCCTCTGGAAAATGGACAGCCAGTCTGCATAGGAAGTGCAGATGTGCCTTCAAGAATGCTTTACGATACAAACAGTGAAAGATTTTTTTCTGGATGCTATCTAGGAAGTGGCTTTTGTGGGAGCAGCTGTCTTAACAGAAGCTATCTAAAGTATTTGCCTGCAGATTTCTAGGCATTCAACAGTACCTTAAAAAAGAAGGCCACCTTTATAGTAGTAGAAACAGAACAAGTCAGAAGGGTCTCCCGGGTCATCTAGTCTGACCCTCAGCTCCAGCCAGCTCCAATCATGTCATGTCTACCATGTGCATGTCCAGCCTATTCTTAAACACCCTCACTGATGGGGCTTCAACCACCTCCCATGGAAGCCCATTCTATAAGCTAGGGGTCCTAACCATCAGGAAGTACTTCCTGGCATCCAAACTAAACCTTGGTTCCCAGAGCTTTGCTCCATTGGAATGCATCCTGCCATTCTCCACAGGGGAAAAAAGGTCACAACCTACCTGTGCGTGACACCCCTCACATACCTGTATGTCACTAACAGCTCCCCTCAGAGTCCCCTCTCCTCCAGGCTGAAGAGACCCAGCTCCCTCAGTCTCTCCTCATATGGCTTTCCCTGCAAACCAGCCACCATCCTTCTGGCCCTTCACTGCACTGATTCCAACCTTGCTATGTAATGAGGGGCCCAGAACTGAACACAATATTCCAGCTGCGGCCACACCAGAGTCGTATAGAGTGGCCGTAATACCTCTCTTGAGCTAGAAGCCACGCTTCTGGCTGTAGAATAGATTGGCTTGACATGGATACACTTTCACAGAAAGGTTGACAAGATGACACTAATAGGGCACTTGTAGGACCCTTATGTCTAAGCAGGCATGTAACTCTCAGATGGGGAGTTGCTGGCTGGGGGATGCTGGTAGTTGTAGGAAATGTTGGTCTTAGCAGGCATAAGATTCCAGCCCTATTCAAGTATATTTTAGGGATTTCTAGAACAGCAGCCTTAAAGACTCCTACCTTTCGTCTCACTTAATATACACAGTTTGCTATTTTACTGATTTAGTTAAAAACCCTGTCATGGTGTTCCTTCTTATTTATTTATTTATTTATTTATTTAATTAAAACATTTCTATGCCACCCCCATCGCAACAAAGCCTCGGGGTGGCTCACAAAAAATCTTAGGACCCCTTCTTAGGCCCCAGTGGCTAAAAGCATGAGGAAGGACCAGAATGCACTCACGCCCAGAAGTCTTCCACAGTGTCAAACTTGGTGACAAGCCGTAAGTTGTCCTGCCAGGTCTTGCTCTTGTCGTTTTTGAAGAACCACAGGGCCCACCTACAAAGGTGACCAGAAGGTGTGATCAGGCCACTAGCCGTGCAGCAGAAACCGCAAGCAGCAGCTGCCTGTGAGCTACGGCACGCCGGCACATCATGCCACGAGTCTCAGCATCAGCTGTTCTAACTGCGAGAGGACCGCCCCGCTCGTCTTGGCCCACTGTAACACGAGGCCCTAGATGCAGATGTGGACTGGCTGCATTATCTGTGGAGTTTGGTTCTCTCCCCACTGTCATCTCTCATGAGATGAAGGAAACAATAATAGTTAAAGGGCACTGAAGGTGAGAATGAGTGTTCACATGTACATGATAATAATTTAAAGCTTTTCTACATGAGGCTTTTGACCCAACACTTTACTGAGGTTTTGCTTCCAGATCCTTTGCAGGATTAAGATCAAGTAGTGAGGTGCCTCCTGCCCCAAGGGTGGAGGAAGTGCTGTCACTTCCTTCCCGCATGTTGCATTACACAGCTGGAAGGAGGTGCTGTGGCTGGTGGACCTGGAGTCTCCCACTCTGGTTTGTTCAGCATGGAAAATACGTCACTCTTTTAAAAGCTATGGAAATCTTTGGAAGCACAGGAGTTGCCCTGGATGAGGACAACAGATTGTAACATGCCTACAACTTCTTATGGCAGAGGAACTGAGCATGCAATTAAATGCCTTGTTGATATCTCCAGAAACTCCCAAAGTACTGAATGGTTTTTTGAAACCAAAATAATAAAGATTTCTTGGCAGGAAACATTTGCTGTATCATCGTGTGCTTTCTCTTGGCCACATTTAGAAGCACCTAACCAGGATTTTTTCAAGTTAACAAGTGGAATGGCAGTTCGGAAATGAAAATGAGCATCACATGATTGCGATGGAAGAGGGCAAGAGCCATAACACTACAGAAAATACAAATAAAATATGCATTATGCTCAGCTGGTACCTGTTCTGCAAAGGGTGTTTGCCGAAGTGATCCACAACCACCTCTCCTTTCCTGGCCTTGCGCTTCCGCTGCTCTTCCGGCGAGCTCCCCTGATGTTTGAAGAAATGGGCAGTGCGTTGTGACAAGCAGCAGCACTGCAAGCCCCCCTCGTGGCAGTCATGGGCAAGCATTTCCTGCAGAGCATTGTCCAGCCAAGCAAGGAGCAGAGCTGGATACAGGCCGGATTCAAAAGGAAGGGCTGACCCGGCAACTGCAAAGCATTGCAGAACAAATGAGAGCCGCCTCTCTGTCGAGGAACTGGGGGCCCGACGAACTTGAAGGCAAAGAGTCAGCACTCATGGAGCAAGTCTATAGCTAAAGTGGGAGAAACAAGGGCTAACACTTTCCAGAAGCAGCTTGGAAAATAAAAGACGCTTCCTCCAGCTTTATTGTAGCTTCAAAGAGGAGTACCCACTATTTGAAATATACACAAAAGTTGTTGCTAGTACCCGTGCCCAACACCACGCAGAACAGACAAAGCCCCTAATGCAGGGTGAAAAACCTCAGACCTGGGGGTCAAATTCAGACCATTTGAGTTCCCCTGTAGGCCATGCCTCTTCTCCCGGCCCCATCCTCTTTCCCCCACATATTACAGGTTTGGTGGCTCCCCAGATTTTGTAGTCCACCCCAAACATTCTTATGAGTTGAAATATATACACCCAGAGACCTTTTTTCCTGCAAGGCACTCACAGTGGCTATCATCATTCTCCCTTTCTCCCCCATTTAATCCTCACAACAACCCTGTGAAGTAGGTAACCCTGAGAGTGAATGACTGCCCCAGAGTCACCCAGTGAGTTTCATGGCCAGGTGGAGCCTGGAACCAAGATCTCCAGGTTCCTGTCCTACATTCTCACCTTCACAACACACTAGCTTCTCTTAAGGCTCAGTAACGGGCAGTACTGCTGTCTTTCTAAAGTTTTGGCCTCACCCCTTTGCCTTTGGCCCCACCCACCAGCAGAATGCATTGCTCCCCTGCTGCTCTAAAATAGTTTCACCCTTAGGCCCTAAGAGGTACTGCAGCCCTGCACCAGCAGCTGTTCCCTTCATCCTGCTGTGGGGGACTTGTGTCCATGAGATCAAGCATGTCCAAAGCTACTTCCTACCCCTTGGGACACTGCTGTGAACAGCGGTGGGGAAATGGGCATCACCCAAACCCTACTGTCCATCTTCATTTCTCACAGGCACTTCACTTCACTTTCTCATTTCATTTCTCTTGGGGCAGACACAGGAGAACGCCACTTGTAACCAAAATAGAATTATTAGTTGGGAAGCAGGGAGAACATGTGAAACTTCCAAGGAAAGCTCCTGGTCTTAGAGAGAATCAGGCACATCAGTCAACTTTTTCAAAGCTGGTCCAGCTTGACCACACAACTTGAGAACTGAATAAATAAATAGCAATAACAATTTATGTTCCTGGAGACTAGAGATTACTTAGAAGAGGGAGACACTCCTTGTCCATATAACATGTAGTGGGAAGAGTGTCTTTTAAGTACTCTTAAAGGTACAGGGAGTGTTGGAAACAGCCCTGTGAGCCATAAGCAGGCCTCCTCCCTATTTTATAGATCAAAGGGCTTCCTCACAGGGTGAGAGATAAATGACAAGTCACCTGGGTACAGGAATTTAGGCAAACCAGGGCGGCCACTGGGTAGACTTGCAAGTATGCAGCCCAATATTGCACATATTTGTTCAGAATGAATTCAATAGAACTTAACCCTCCTTGCTTAAATCTGCACAGATTTGCAGCCTTAATAGGGAAAACACATGACTTTGCATCAGAGAGAAGGAGTTCAAAATACTGAACAAAGCCACTGAATTGCACAAAGTAAAGTTTCTCCATTCCCTTGAGGTCAATAAGCCCTCTTCTAAAAATTGTGCCAGAAGCTGTTGAGCTAAAACTGTGTTTTAGAAGCACAGCAGCCCAGCAGTTTATCACTGGAAAACTGAGAACTCAGCAAAAGCCAGCTTGGGCTTACTTACCCACATTGCTGCTGCTGCTGCCATCCTCCAAAACAATAACACATCTCATCTCTTCAGAACGCCATTTATTTAGAAGGTACCTTTGAGAACCGCCTTTCAGCTAAAACCCTAACCTGTTAAAGAGCCAGGCGCTTCCTTCTTTCCTTCCTTCAAAGACCAGGGGAGTGCCAGATCTTACCTGTCTCGTCTCCTTCTGTTGGCTGGATCAGAATGCTTACTCCAAAGCTCGCTTAGCTTGCTGTGTTGGGGAGATAATGATCAGGGGGCTTTTATCACAAATTGATAGATTATACTGGCATAGTTAATTAAAAAGGGATGGGCATTTTGCTAACTTATCTAGGGCATATGTTATATTTGCATTGTCATTGCAGGCTTATAACCTCTGGGCTGCAATTGATAAGTTTGCCATGTGCAACTTTGTGACCCAAGTTGTCTATCAAGAAGGATCCAGCATCTTTGTGAACGAGGGGATCAGCAGAGTAGCTAATTCCAGATCTTTGTAAGCAAGATCTGTTGCTTATTTCTTTGTGGCCTAAGAGGGACTCTTGTTGGCACTGTTCTTGTGTTAACAGAATACTTCTGTGTGGGCAATTGCCATGTTGTTTTGTATTTAACTGTGGCTCTAAGTAAAGGTTTGTTAAATTCAAATCTTTGAATGTTTTATTCTACCTAAGCACCGTAGGACCTGAAGAAGCCAAAAATACATCGGTTCAAAGTTTTGTGGGGCTATTTGGCAATATACACTTCAGTGAAATTCTGAAAAATGAAGGGTTGAGTCCAACATGGGCATCCATTCATGCTATTGGCATTTCCTTTTTCCTCCTTCCCCTCGTGTTCCCGATGTATGCACCCCAAATCCATTCTGAAGCGTTCCCTTACTTTCCAGAGGCAATTTGGGGGGTGGGGATTTCTACGGTACTTGAACTATGAGTTCCTGAAACGTAGTTTTTATGTTGCCTCAACCCAGCCAAATTATCAACCCACAGTGAACTACCCATGGGTCACAGTCCAATAACAAACCATGGGTTCTTTTCAAGGGTTGCCTGTAGCTAATAAGGCATTGCAGGTTAGTGCAGTTCAGTTCAGACAGCACAACAACCCATGCTTTAACGACAACCTATTTTCAACCCCCGAGTGTGAATTACCATGCCATGTGAACCCAGTCTCTCAGCTTCCACCTCTGCTGCTTTGAAACTGAGAATACATAATATTGCTGTATTTTACATGTTGTAACGATTACTGAAATAAGGGTCTTGCGCACTTTATATTCATACAATATCCCCTCCTCCGTCCTGCCACAGCCAGGACAGATTTTTCCCCCGTTGAGGCTGATCTCTAAGCTCTGTCTTCTTGTCCTTCCTCTTTGAATAGATGTGACGGCCACAATGAATCCTTTCAGTCCTCTTGTTTCCCCAGACTCTTGTTTGGTACTTCTGAGCACCAGACACAAGCCCATGATTCGGAGAAAAGGCTCCTGTTGGGACAGGAGTGTTTTGCTGCAGCCGACAGGCGACAAATAAATGGAGACGGATGAGACCAGGGGAGCCTCATTGCCAGGCTGGGGACAAAGGGCAGATTTTAAAATAAAGCACTGAAGAAGAAATCCACAAGCATCCAACTGGTGTCACAGAAATTATTCCCCGGGGGCAGCCTCACAACAGGACAAAGGGGGTTTGAGCGGCTGAACTGAATGGCCTGGCTTTCTTGATATCATGCGACCTGCAATGTACCAAACAGGCTAGAAATGAAACTCCTCCCGAGAACTTTCTATGCACTCCTTCCTGCCCTATTTTTGTCATGGCCAGAGGCACCACAAATTCCTCCATCTTCCAGGCTTGCAGCTTTCAAGGCCTATTGCCGAATCTTCCCTTTGTTAAAACCCAGAATCTTCCCTTCTTCCACTGCAACAGGAGTGAGCATCTTGTGGACCTGCGGGTGCTTTGGCCTACAACTCCCATCAACCCTCACCAGCACAGCCTGTGGATGTTAAAACCTTCCTGGAGGGCCACAAGTTGCCCACGGGGCTCTACTTCAAGGTCTGCCCCATTTTTCTTCACCTGCTGCTTTAGCGCTGCCCAAGGTCAGTTCACCCTCCCCATTTTCTCCTCTTCAGTAAGATTGGAATGCTGCAGCAGCAAATTATTTATCCCCTGTCACTTTCTGTTTCCTGTAACCTTAAATCTCCAGACTGATTCCCTTTCACTTCTAAATCACATTGGGTTCTGGATCCTTACTGCTCTTAACTACATCCCCTTTCTTATCTACCCTACTTTCCTCCCCACTTTCTCCCTTATATGAATGCTTTATCTCCTTATCTCTTTGTTCTCTTCTTCAGCTCAATGCTTTATTATACCGATCTGTAAGTATATCCTCTGAATGTCAAGTAGAGCAACACTTCGGAGAAACTCTTCACTGGCCTCACCTTGTCTGTATTGTCTGCTACCAGTACAGCCATAACTATCTCATATTAGCTACCATCCCTTGGTGCACCCCATGTGAGATGCAGGACCAGAGAGAGCCCCATGTTTTCGGCCCTCTCATCTGACAGCTGGATCAGAGACATACAGGGCCCCCCTGTGTGAGTCTCATGCACTGGTGGTGGTATGTTGTGACTGGGTGTCGAGTTACACCAAAGGAGGTGAGGTGGATGGCTCCAAAGGAGAGGGGCTTTTCAGGGGTGGCACCTCTCCCTACAGAGTCATTCTGTGCCTATGCTGTGGGCTTTTCACTGCACAGGCTTTCCAGTTCTTCAGTTTTGTTATTAAAATGTGTTGCTTTTAGGTTTTATTCTGTTTTGAACCTTTAAAAGTGTTATGTTTTATCACGAGTATTTCAGGGTTTTAATTTTTGTGCTATGATTCCATCCCACCCCAATGCCACATATTTACCCTGTGCATGGCAATTAGGCTTCAGAGAAAAACTCCCGTTAGTGCTAGTAGGAGAATGCAGTCAGCCATGAAATCACTGAGAGCCTTGGGGTAGCCCCTCCCTGTCTCTCAGCTCAGTAGACTTCACAGGGTTGTTGTTACTATAAAATGAGGAGGCAGAAGAGCGTATGTCCTGTCCAGAGTTCTTTGGAAGATGGGCTGTGCAAATGAAGTTGGAGCCTGATTTAGTCAGAGTAGACGTACTGAAATCGAGAGAAGTTAAGTTAGCCATGATTCACTTAATTCCCAATTATTGCAGCAGTTCTGCTCAAGTGTGCATCCTGTCTGTCTGTCTGTCTGTCATAGCAAGTGCCTTATTAGCTTCTGTGCACACTAATGATGGCTTTCAGCTTAGATGGAACTATTAAAGATCAATGTGTCCCCATTGATTTACTGATTGAGGAAGGATCTCCATTACACTGAGCAGTCATTGTAAAATTGATAAATTTTATTTGACTTTTTCTTAATTTGCGAGCTTTTTTTCCTGTTCTGACCAGGAATGACAATGAATTCTGATATCCTGTGAACATATTATGACCATAACTGAATTTATCATTAAATGATTTGGACTCGTTGGAATGGATGACTGGAAGGCAGTTCTTTTATTCTTCTTTTGAAATGTGCATTGCCACTTGTCTTTCTTTAACAGCTGCATGGCATGCAGAAATTGGATGTAACTAGAGAGAGAGACAATGATAAGAAAAAATCCTACCTGAGAATTATTACTGACAGACAAGAAAAGTCAAACCATTCTGAAATTTTAGCACTTATATCCAGAGGCCTCTTTCTGCTACTTGGGAAAGTCATTATGACAGTTTCTACCTAGCCAGTTCCAGTCTGCTTGTGTGTGAACATACTCTGAAAAAGTTTAAGCTTAACTATCCCAAATTGATCCTATTTTTTTCCTATGTTTTGATTCCCCTTCCATAATTTAGCATACAAACTTCTGGCATGTACAAATGTAAATAAAATTAGCTGTTTGCCTAATAGAAAAACCGTTTTCATGTAATTTGGTAAACGTAACAACAATTAAGGCTTTAATTATATTTGGAAAAGCACATGAATCATCTTTATCACCATGCCCTCCCCCTACCCCGCTCTCTATACATGATTTCTTCTATCACTAGCATATGTGAAGATGGGATTGTGTTTATTCCTGGGTTGGATTTCCCAGAATCATAGGAGAGGATTGCAAATTAAACCATCCTGCCCAGATGGCTGTCCTGCTACATCTTGAATGCCTCCAGTGTGGGAGAGCCCACAACCTCCCTAGGTAATTGGCTCCATTGGAAAACTGCTCTAACAGTCGGGAAATTTTTCCTGACACCTAACAGGAATCCGGCTTCCTGTCACTTAAGCCCATTATTCCGTGTCCTGCACTCTGGGATGATTGAGAAGAGATCCTGGCCCTCTTCTGTGTGACAGCCTGTCAAGTATTTGAACAGTGCCATCATATCTCCCTCCATCTTCTCTCCTCAAGACTGAACATGCCCAGTTCTTTCAGTCTCTCCTCACAGGGTGTTGTTTCCAGCCCCCTGATCAGCTTTGTTGCCCTCCTCTGAACTTTCTCCAGTTTGTCTGCATCTTTCTTGCAGAGTGGTGCCCAGAACTGGACAAAATACTCAAGATGGGACTTTGCTAGTGTTGAACAGAGGGGAACCAGCGCCTCACATGAATGTCACTCTTTTACTTTTTCCTACTGCTCAGTTAAATAGTATGTTGTATGTGTTTTTCCATTTGTGTTTATTGTATTTTAAACATTTTAATAGCCATCTCGTGGTTCTACAACTAAAAGCAGGATGACAGGGCTTTTAATAAATAAACTGGTGAGTGCTTGTGATTGAGACTCAGCATGTTTTAATAGAAGATATAAAGCATGCATCCAGGCATCTATTTATTGGCTTTACCACAACATTAACCCTTAACTAGTTTTGAAATCCATGGGGGTTTTTGTTTTGAATCCAGAGGTTGCTGTTCTTTAGGCTACAGTTGCTTCTAGATGGATGGCTCTGACCACCACCAATCAAAGTGCTGCTGATCCGTCTCTCTTTAAGTGATTCCACATGGAGGGTCCTTAGTACTACCAAACAGAAGGCATTGTGCCGGGATTGCCCTTTCTGGCTCCATAACAAATCTTCTATACTAAGAAAACTGATGGAAGCAGCAGTGAGAAAAACATGAGAGTTCCAAGATCAAGAGGTATCCTCCAGACCCTCATACAACTCTGTGACTAAGGCAGAAAGATTTTATGCTGGAAGCCCCATAGAAAGCACCCACAGTAGGCTGCAAGCACACTTACCTGTTGGGCTGGGAGTGAGCCCCATGGAATTCAGTAAGATTTGCTTTTGAGTAGTCATATTTAGGATTGCGCCCTGCTAGAACAGGCCAAAATTTCATCCAGGCCCACTTCTTGCTTATGGAAATGGTCGATCATATTGCAGAAGTCCAGATACAGGACGTGAAGGCAGCTGCTACTCACTCCGCCGCACCCAGCCCAGCAAAAGGTATTTATTCAGGGGATACAGGATCGGGAGGATCCATACAGATCCCATGGCAAATAAGCGTCCAGGGCCTCCGTTTCCCTGAAGGCACAAACCTAGAAGTCCTACCGGCCCCAGCATTCTCCAGCTGGCATGATTTGCCGGGGGATACTGGGAAATGTAGGACTTTTTTCTCCTATCTAACCATGATAGGATCACACCCGGAATGTGTCCAATCCCCTCTTCCAGCCCCCTGGCCACGAGGACGCCACATCCTGCTGTGGCGACCAAGTCCTGTAGGGGTTAACACCATCTGCGGGAAAGCAAGGCCTGTGACGCTGCAGCTACCTGCGGCCTTCTCGGCGCTGAAGAGGCCGCGCCGGCCGTGCCCCCTCCCCGCACCCGTGCAAAGCAAGCTCGGCCCGCGGCTACGCGGATTGCCGAGCGCGCCGCCGCCGCCGCCGCCGCGAGCAGCCACAAGCGGCTCCCGCGCCTTTGGGCGCGGGGGCAGGCCGCTTTGCCGCCCTCCTGCCGGATGCCCCGCCCCGGGTCAGCGGGTTGGCGGCGGCGGCGGCGGCGGCAACACCGGGGCTCCGGCGCTGCTGCATCGGGGCCAAGCCGAGGGGCGGGGAGCGCGGCTTGCGCGCGATGATGAAATCCCTTCGCCGGGCGGGTCCAGGGCACGCGGCGGCTCATTGCAATATTCAGCAGCGGCAGCCGCGGCAGGGCGAAGGCGCGGGTGTCTCGCCTGCGCTCTCCTCCTCCGCCTCCTCCTCCTCCTCCTCCCCCCCCGCACCGGAGCTGCTCCATGGCAGAGCGGCTGCCCTGACTCCGCCGCCGCACCGTGCCGCCGACCCTACTCCGCCCTCCCGGCCCGGTATGATCTGAACCCCCCACCCCGGCGGAGACGCACTCAGTCCAGCGCTATTGCCGATCGCAGGTGAGCAGCACCTCGTTGCGAGTCCTTCCCTGCACGCACGCCGGGGCTGGGAACACGAGTCATGATTGATGCCTGGGTGGGTGGGACGGTGAAGGGGAGGATGCATAAAAATGGCCTGAAGGTGAATCCCTCCGTCCGTGTGCTGGACGCTTTCGAGGAGAGGGGGTCTCTTTCCTTCCTCCCGTCTCCAGCAAGCGTGGTCCTACCTCCCCTGCCACTGGGGAACAATCTGCCGTTGGGGAAAGGAGGTGTTGCGTCTTCTCGGATATTTCACATCCCCTTCCCCATCCATCCAGTATAACTTACAGAACTGGCTCTCTGTTTCTCACCCCTCCCTTCCCTTCTCGGGTTTCAAGGACACAGAGTCATCCCTGTTCTGACTGCTTTAATCTGGGTTAAATCCCAGCCTGTCCTCTCTCACTGCCTCCTTTGTAGAGAAAGAGATGCTGGGAGCGGATGCTTTTATGGAATGGGGTCTTGAAGGGGAGGATTTCCACCCCTGCATTAAAATAATCAGGAGGTAGTAGCTGCAGCCATTAAGGTAGGCCTGGTGATGATGAGGATGACAGCTGGGAGGGATGGAGAGGTGGGGGGAGTGGGAAGATCCTTTGCAGCAGAAACAGCTGTCATCAGACTTGTTGAATTTGGGGCAGAAGGTTGGCTTTCTTAGCCGGACTGGGGCATCTGTCCCTGTACTTTCTGCTTTTGGTGGATTCCCTCCGTGGGGACTGCTTGCCTGCTTCTTCTGGCATAGTTTTGGCAGGAGAGAAGCTGTGGCTGCAATAAGAGACTGCCTGGGGAGAATGCACTGGGGACAGCATGTTATTAGGGTAGCCACGGTGGTTTTAGGCCTGGAGAAATGCCACCAGAAGCAGTCCCAGTGCTCCCTGTCAATCCGCAATCCCCATAGCCTGGATGGAAACAGCGTCCGAGTCTTCTGCTGAAGCCATCTTGCATGGTGTCTTGTCTCCCTGCACAGAGCACCGTGCCGGGATGGATGCACTTATGAAGGGCTTGTCCAAGGCAAAGGAAGGGGTTGTTGCTGCAGCGGAGAAGACCAAGGAAGGGGTAGCGGTGGCAGCAGAGAAGACCAAGGAAGGCGTACTTTATGTCGGTAAGGCTGCTCCAGGCGCAGCTGCAGAGTTGACCCACTGGCTGTCCCCCCTCTTGCAGGAGAACAAATCTGTGAAGCAGAAGGAAGAGAGGAGAGGAGAGGGGAGGGGGGGGGAGGAGGGAAGCTTCCATTTCTCTCCTTCCAGAACAGCCTTCCCCAATCTGATGCCCTGTAGGTGTGGATTCTGGGAGTTGTAGTCCAACACATCTGGAAGGTACAAGGTTGGGAAGGCTTCGCTAGGCATCCTTTCCTCAGTTCAAATTTATTGGTTTTCGTTTTCTTGTTTGGCTTGTTCAGGCACAGTGAAACAGCACAATTCCCGTGGTGACAGCAGATCTAGGGAAGCAGAAGATGATGCTGTAGAGCAATATCTGCAAAGCAGTTTCTGCTGGCTTCTCCTCCCCCATCTTCCCCTCTGGGCTTTGGAGGCTAAGCTTTGTCCTGATGTCAGATTGCCCTCCACATGCAAAATGTTCCACCTGCTGGGGCTTACCTGTGGGGCCCTGCTTTATCTTTTACAATACTTGGCTGGCCCTCCTCCCCCACACTCCCAAATTTCACAGGGGTTATTGCACTTAAGTATTGGCTAAGTAGACCAGAACTGTAAACTTCTAACCAAGGAGCACAGAGTGCATGGCATGTTTTTCGAAACACAGTGGGTTATGCTTCTAGGATTCTTGAACTCTCGAACTGAAACCCAACTCTGCATGGATATTTCCTCCTTTCTTCTCATTGGTTCTCATGTTACTGGTCCCATGTGAAAAAGGACAGATGATATATTTTTATTGAATGAAGCCATCATTTAAAGGTGGCATGCAAACTCTCAGGTCTTTTATAGAAGGTTTGGTCTCACAAAACAAATATTCTCAAATGAATAGTATAATTTGGCCTGATAAAGACTTCTGTGAACTATGAAGGCTTGCCTATCATCTTTAAAAGATGGATTGTTGCAGTAAAAGATATTAGCATTAATTTATATCTCTGCCTGCTCCTATGGACACCATAATAAAGGACAAGCCATTAGCCCAGTGTCTTCCCATGTACCCTAAACAATTTGTTCAACACAAAGTTGGTGTCTACAGATATAGGTTCACCAGTCAGTGTTCATTTCACTGCTCAAATTACAAGAAGGCAGAGGGGCCAAGCTCCCTTAGCTACTCCTTTGAGAAAAGCAAAGGTTGCCATATTGTCCATAAGGAACATTCCCAAAACCATATTAGTTTAATGATCTTTAGAACAACTGCACATCTTTTATGAACTTTTGGTTGGCCTAATACAAAAAAATAACTAAACATGGATTTGAGTATTTTTCTTTAAAAGGTTATGGAAGGATGATTATTTGATTAAAATGGGTGTATGTGGAAGGAACCAGTCCTTGTGGAACTCATCGAAGCTTTCACCTTGTCTGACTGGTTCAGTTCCTGGATCCAGTGTCCATATCTGGTGTTTCAGGCAGTCCTCTGAATAGGACAAAAGGGCTACAGTTCCTTGGGAAATGCAATAGGGAAAAGGCATGACGGTGGTTGAGTTTTGTGCTTGGTTCAGCCTAAGAGACGAATAGATGAATATTCACACATGACTGCTCTGTATTCAGGAGCTGCCTTGGCTCTTTAAGATTCAGCAAGAAGAACCACCCAGTTGACTTGGACTAGCCCAACCTCCTCCAATCATACCACTTCTAGTCAGAAGAATGAGACACATGTCAAGGTTGCTCCTCCCTCAAGGCCTTCATCTGCTGTCTTCATACCAGGATACTACTTCGTCCCTCACTGTCCCAGTACTCATACCTGCAATCTGCCTGTACATGTAAACACTTCCTTCTCAACTTTGCAGGTTCAGCAAAAGCAAAGAGGAAATAAACACGGGGTGTATACATTTGCAGGGGCACACTGTAATAAATCTGATTTGCAAAAAGAATCCTCCATAATATCACTAGGTAGCCATAATCAGCAAGAATGGACTGGGAGCGCTCATGTTTAGTATGGTCACTGGCCATGCTGATGGGGAATGATGGAAGTTGCAGTCCAGTCCATCTGGAGAGGGGCAGGTTGGGGAAGGCTGGTTTCACAGCTCCTGCTAAAATTATTTATTTATTTATTTATTTATTCAATTTGTATCCTGCCTTTTTCCTCAAAGGGCTCAAGGCAGCTTACATCATTCTCCTCCTCCATCTTATCCTTACAGCAACAACCCTGTGAGGTAGGTTGGGCTGAGAGTCTGTGACTGGCCCAAAGTCACCCAGTTGGCTCCATGGCTGAGTGGGGACTAGAACCCAGATCGTCTGAGTCCCAGTCCCAGGCTCTTAGCCCCTACACCACACTGGCTCTCCAGTGAAATTAGCTGAACAAAATTCACAAAAAATATAACAATAGGGCAAATTCACTACTGGCCACATTCTTGAGTGGGGTCAGAGCAATATGAGGATGTGAGAAGGCAGTGAGACTCTTCCATTAAGAGCTCCAAAGTTTTTCCAGTGGGAAAGCAAGGCATGTTGTGGAATGTATACCATCTGCCAGTGAAACACCTTCTCTTAAGAGCTTGTCTTCTCAGCAGTCAGCTTAGGCATCCAACCTTCCCTTGGTCATCTTGCAATGCAGACACCAGAGACTTAGACTGTCCTGCCCCATCCATGTGCCCTCCAGGGGAGTTGGGCTACTAGCCTGGCATATAGCAGCATATCTTGCTGGAAGAAGCAAAGTTAAGATACCTCACTCTCTATATCTGGAGTAAGGAAGTTTCTACCAGTCGATATGTTCTGTCCTTTCCCCTTTTAGAAGCTCCTGTGCACACTTAGTTCTCCATGCTTTATGTTGCTCCCTTCCCTGGAAAGCTGGCACTGCAAGCAGCTGCCACTTTCCCCCATTCCACGCTTTGCTGCTTGCATTTCCCTGGACTTTCTGAAAACTCCTGGCTAATTATCTGCAATGTCTCTGTTTTGATACCTTTATGGAAGGGATATCGGGGCTCTGGAATCACATGCTTTTAAAAGACTAAGTCTGAGATCTGCAACAAAAAAGTTGAGATCCTGCAACTAGAATACATTGTACCAGTTTAAAAATATGTGCATGCAGCTGACATAGTTGTGCCATTTTTAAATTTCAGTTTAGGGAATTGTATTTTTTGCAAAATTGCTATTTAGTGTTTAGGGTCTCCCATTGAGCTATAGCAGGAGATGGACCATGTGGGAAAGAGGACAGGACTTGAAAGGTTAGGGAGGTGTTGATCGAAACTTGGAGGGCATGGCTGATGGTGATGCTAACAGGAAGTTCTGCCATCAGAACCTTGGATGTCCACCTGAGGCTGCGCTGATTCATTTATTTAGAACACTTATATATCATGTAATCTTCCACTAGATGTCAGAGGAGTGAACATAAAAGATTAAACAGATAAAAGAATCAAACAAGATGTTAAAAACAAGATCAATAAAGCAGTGGCTGGTTTTAGTGTTCTCTGGAGGCTGCGAAAACAGGGCTGTGTTGGAGCTGCCCGACCTCCAGAGGCAGGGACATCCAGAGAAAGGGAGTTGCTATGCCGAAGGCTCTTCTCCAGATGGCCTCCACAGGTCCATGAGGAACCACCAGGAGGAGGCCACCTGGTGCCTGCAGGGAGCAGGCAGCCTAGCAAGGGGGAGCCGCTCTCTCCAGCATCCAGGTCCCAAGTTCTTCAGGGCTTTGTATCCTGGTGCTGGACCCTTAAACCTGGCCCAGTAGCAATTAAGCAGCTGGTGCCGATCCCTCAGCAAGGGACCTGCTTGCTGGAAAGGGGCAGCTCCCGGCAGTGGCCGAAGTGCTGTGTTCTGCACTGGCTCCAGTTTCCAGAGCAGCCTTAAGGGCAGCCCCACCAGGATGGCGTTGCAGCAACCCACTCTTGAGGTCTGCTAGCGCCTGTCCCACTATGGCCAAGCTGTCTCTGCCCAGGAGAGGCCATAGATGGCAAAGCAGGCAAAGCTGGTTAGAGGGACTCCAGCAACAGTGGTGAATCCAGGAGTGGTCGCAGATTCCCTTTTGTCTGTTTCTAGCACGCACACACAGATTATTGCCACATTCTCAGGTTGGCCTCAGCAGCCATGTAATGCTAGAAGCTTCCTCCTTTTAAAAATATAAAAGAACACTGAGAGCCCCAGGGCTGTTCTCAAGTTGATTTGGTGGTCTTTCAGATACTTAGAGCTCCAGAATGTATTCTTGTTCCTATAGGCAAATTGAGAAATGCCAGCCTTCCCTAGCAGAGTTGGTACTAGCAGTTAAGGCAGAAGGAATTACTACAGGGGAGAGTACCTCAACTAGCTTTCCATAACCTGGTGCTCTTCAGATGTTGGGGGCTGCAGTTCCTATAATACTGATGAGGACTGATGGGAGTTTTAGTCCAAAAACATTTTGAAGGCTCCAGGATTCAGAAGGCTGACCTTGGCAGAGTCTGCCTTCTGCTATAAACCTCTTTATCTTGGGCTCACAGTAGCCAGCTGTAATAATCTGTAGGGCCTACATTTTCAAGATGTGGTACAGGATTGCAGGGGTGCAGAGTGGGAAGTGCAGGAGCTCCTTGCAAAGATCTCTGTAGTCTTGCTGTGGAAAAGGTGGCTGGTATTGGGGGTGGGGGGTTCAGGAAGGAATAGAGTAGGAGTGGGGGGTGTTAAATTTGCAACTTTGCAAGACTGATGTAAAGATACTCTGCCCATTCTGTAGCATGGACTGGGCAACTTGTGGATGATGGCTTCCATCAGCCATCAGCACTGATGAGGGATGATGGAAGTTGTAGACCAAAGCAGAGAAGTCCATGAGTTGCCCACCTCTGATGTAGAAGGAGGGACTGGGAACGAGCAGTGTCATGTTTTTAATGCTTTTCTCCAAGGCATTCCTGCACATATACATTAGCACATCAGGTAAAATGCTTTAGCATAACTCCCTCTTGGATGTGTTAGCTTACTATGTGCCTGGAGCTTTTACGTGGGACAGGCCACAAAAATGAGTCACCTCCATATCCATCCTGATAGAAGTCAGACC